GAGTAATAAAAGTAGTATTCCTTTTGAAATTGTGCATACCGATGTTTGGGGACCTTATCATGTTATTGCTATTGGGGGGGGGGGGTACAGATATTTCTTGTTGTTTCTTGATGACTATACTCGTTTTTCATGGGTTTACCTTATGCATTCTTGAGATGAGGTTCCTAAACCTGGATCTTTCATCAGATGATTTTAACCTAGTTTGGGATCAAAATCAAAATTTTTAGATCCGATAATGCGAAAGAGTATTTTGCAAAACATTAGCTTCATATTTCCTTGACCATGGGATTATCCATCAGAGTACCTGTCCTCATACACCTTAACAAAATGGGGTTGCTAAGAGGAAGAATAGACACATATTGGAGGTGGCTAGAAGCATTATGTTTAACTCGGGATATTGCTGCTATGAACCTACTTCTGGGAGGAGGTTTGTTTCTATGGATGTCACTTTCTTTGAGGATGTACCCTATTATCCTAGGGTTTCTTCTCAGGGGAGAGTAGTGAGGTGGGGGTTCATTCATCAGAAATTCCATTACTTGTCCCAATCACTGAAGGGGAGTGTAGTGAGGAGGGATGTCAAAGGTGCCGGGATTTGAGAGTTTATCACAAACGGTGGAGGTAGGTTGATTTCGGTCATCAACAGTCCAGGCCAGCCCCAATTCCTTCTGCGGATCCGGATCCAAGTACCACAGTTCCTTCATCTTTCATTACAGATGAGATACCTTTTGTTGTTGAGCCTTCACCTCTATTGGATGACCTTGACCTTCCCATTGCAATCCGTAAAGGGAAATGCCATTGTACCTTATCTACAACTCATTGTATTTCCCAATTCTCGTCTTATGATCATTTGTCTCCATCTTACAAGTCCTTTTTTGCATCCATTGCTACTATTCCCATTCCTAGAACAATGCAAGAAGCCTTGTCAGTACCTGAGTGGAAGGATGCAATGGAGGTAGAAATGGATGCCCTTTTGAAGCACAATACATGGAAGCTAGTTGATAAACCTAAAGGGAAGAAACCAGTTGGATGTAGATGGGTGTTTACTGTGAAGCATAACGTTGATGGTTCCATTGAAAGCTATAAGGCCAGATTAGTTGCAAAGGTATTTACTCAGACATATTGCATAAACTACTTGGAGACTTTTGCACCAGTAGCGAAGATGAACACTATCAGAGTTTTATTATCTCTTGTAGCCAATTACTCGTGGCTTTGTTTCAGATGGATGTTAAAAATGCCTTCCTCAATGGTGACTTGCAAGAAGAAGTGTACATGCAGTTGCCTCCTGGATTTTATAGTGCAGAAACAGGAAAGAAGGTTTGCCAACTGAATAAGGCCTTATATGAACTGAAAGTCTCCTAGAGCCTAGTTTGATAGATTCAGACAAGCTCTTGAAAAATTTGGCTATGTGCAGGCCTAGTCAGATCATGCTCTTTTTATTAAGAAAGTGGATTCCTCCTTAACACTGCTTGCTGTATATGTGGATGATATTGTGGTGACAGGGAGTGGTACCCGTGAGATTGACTCTCTTAAGCAACTCCTTCACCAAGAATTTGAGGTCAAAGACCTAGGAGAGCTATAGTATTTCTTGGGTGTTGAGGTATCTTGGTCTAAGCATGGGATTTTTGTTTCCCAAACAAAGTATGTTCTTGATTTGTTGGAAGAAATAGAGAAGCTAGGTGTTAAACCTGCTAACACACCTATTGAACAAAATCCCAAGATCAGTGCAGAAGGTGGAGAGCCCCTTGAAGATAAAGTTATGTTCCAATGATTAGTTGGAAAACTTCTCTATCTTTGTCTCACACGATTAGACATCAGTTATGCAGTCAGTGTTGTTAGCCAGTATATGCATTTTCCTATAACCACTCACCTATTTGTAGTTGAAAGGATATTGGCATATTTGAAGAGATGTCCAAACAGAGGTATACTATTAAAAGATAAAGGTCACATGAAAATAGAAGTTTACACAGATGTTGATTAGGCTGGATGTGTTGATGATAGGAGGTCTACCTCTGGTTATTGTGCTTTTTTGTAGGAGGTAATCTTGTTTCTTGGAGGAGTAAGAAACAAAATGTTGTTGCTCACTCCAATTTTGAAGCTGAATATAGGTCCATGGCAAATGGTGTGGTTGAAGTACTATGGTTGAAATCCCTATTTGAGGAGTTGGGCATTACTTATGAGAAGCCTCTAATGCTGTACTGTGATAATCAGGCTGCTATTAACATAGCCCATAATCCGGTACAACATGACAGAACTAAGCATATTGAAGTGGACCAACACTTTATTAGAGAAAGACTTGCTTCACAAGAAGTGTGTCTTCCATATATCACCTCCAACATGCAACTTACAGATCTCTTCACTAAGGCAGTTTCAAAGACAAAGTTAGAAGCAGACCTATGCAAGACAAACATCTATTCCCAACTTGAAGGGGAGTGTAGAGAACATTAATGTGGTCCCCACTATGTTATTTATGTGGTCCCCACTGTTGTTTGTTTATTTATGATTAGTGGTACTTATTTTCAGTTGGTAGTTATTTCTTTTCTTTGCTTATGTAAGCAGTAGGGGTAATTCAGCCTTTTTCCCTTTATTTTTATTATTAATATAAATAGCTGAGTGGGGCGATGACTCTAGTCAATGCACACTCTTTTTGAATTCTCTTCTTCGTCTTCTCCTTCTCTTCTTCTCTCCTTCTCTCTTTCTCAAATCTGTTTTTCTTTGTTTATTGTAAATTATATCTAGGACTGATTGCAGTCCTACTAGACTACTGTTTCAAGCCATTTGAGCTTGATTTCAAATGAGAGACTAAATGGGACGTTGATAGACAACCAGTATTTTCTCCCATTAGAACACCCACTCGACTCATGTGAACCCAACCTTCATCTTCTAGATCCAAGTCCTTTGATTCAATCCTCAAGTATCTAGGATTGCGGCGATCTATCACATTTTTACTCGGTCCCTTTTCCTTCACATTCCCTCTTGGTACCCATTGTAGTGGCTGTTTCAAGCCATTTGAGCTTGATTTCAAATGGGAGACTAAATGGGATGTTGATAGAAAACCAGTATGGTCTCCCTTAGAACTTTACCCACTTGACTCATGTGACTATTTAAAGTCACATGAGCCCGTCTTCTCTAGGTTAATTTTCATCTGACCCAAAGCTGGCCCCTGGTTGCTTCAGAAAGTGCTTTACCTTGGTGAGTTTTCTGCTTGTGTGGACCCTACAACGGTTCAGAGATAACTCCTTTAGTAGCCACCTCAGCAAAAGATAATCCAGCTGTCCCTTCTTAAATTTAAATTTATTTGAATTAATCTTTGGCAGTAAAGGTTAGTGAAGTTATAAGCTTCCAAAACTCCTCCAAGGGTTCTTACCACCTTGTCATTACAGATTCCTTCCACAAGTTAAAGGGAAGCCCAACCAGCTTCACTGTGAAGCTACCTTCCCTATCTCTTTCTTATTACATGACATGCACCATTTCTCCACCATGATCATCTCTGACTTTGTTTCAAACCTTGAAAGCTCCACAGAGTCACTCCCTATATCAAGGACTTCTTGTGTTTCATTGAATGGAAAAATGACTGCCATAGAGCTGATCTTGCATCTCTCCACAATCAACTCTAATATCAGCTTCCAGTCCAGTACCTTTTGGTTTGTCATTAGTCGTTACAACAAATCTTTTCCCCCAAGCTCAAAAGCGAGACCTCTAGATCTTGTTTATCTCCATTGATAATAGTTTGCTCACCTTCATTATCACTGATGTCATTTTGCTCCCTTACAGGGTTCACCCCTTCACCTTCCAGCACGGACTTTAATTGTTCCTTCTTTTCCAAGAAAATCAGAAAATCCTACAAGCTATCTGCAATCGACCTCCCACCTTTGCTTTCCTTTCCTTTAGGAAGCATACAATTTGCTTCTTCCCATTCCCAAACAACTTCGTTACTGAAACAAACCATCCCTTCTTGTTCCATCTTAGTTCAACTACATATTTTTTCCATGGAACATCAGAAATTTCTTCCATCCTTGTATTTTGACAGAGTATACAACCCCATCAATGAATCCTTTCAACAAATGTATAGCTTTTTCAACGAGGAAGACGGTAGCTCTCTTTTCTTCCCTCGCCTTCAAGGAATAATGTCCGTTGTTCCTGCAACTTTCAAGAATCATTTTCTTTGCTTCCATCATGATGTCCTTCCTCCATCTTGACTGTCATGAAATATCCTTTGTCTCCCTTCCCTTTGTCTTTCTTTGTCATCAGTTTCTTTGTTCCTCCCGTAGATGGTCTTCTCTTATTATTAAACTTACCAGTACAAGTATCTTTTCTCTTTTCAAAGGGTAATTTCCCTAGTTACATATGTGCAAATATGCCCAAATCAGCACCATTATGGGCTTCTGATTTCAAGTTTGTCACCAAGAAGATCTTAGAGGGTGAACGCTAATTTTACACACATTATATGCATATGATAGATAGAAGTTATAGGCCCAGCCCCGGGCCCAGGCTTACTGTTTTAGGCCTGAAACCTGGGATGGTCCAGGCTTGGGCCTAGGCTATGTCTCTTATCATAGGTGCAACACATATTATATGCATATAATTGATTTTTTTTCTTTTTTTAAATTTTAAGTGGAGGAAGAGAGGAAATGGTAGAGATGGGAAATAAGAATAAGAGAGGTTGAGAGAGAGGGTTCCTTGAGAATAGCAACACCAGCGGTGGCAAAGATAGTGGCAGCAATAGGTAAGTCTTATTCTTTCAATAAAAGTTATTCATCAAACAAATATTGTTGAAATTCCATATTATTAGATTCTTGTTTCCAATTGACAGTAAACATCATTTGGTTTCAATATATTCCATGACAAAATTGTTGCAGCTATTAAATTTTGTAAAGCATGATAAGGAATAAAACTACATGATAGTGAAATTGAATGTAGTAGAAAAGACAGTCAAGAAGAATATTTAAAGCATGTTAAAAGGAAAGGGGAAAACCTTGAAGACAAAAGAAATTAGGACCTACCTGTCCACAATTCCAGCTATTATTATGATTCTCTCCATCATTGTTATCTTCTCCATTTGCCAAGTTATGCTTGTTGTTATATGTCACTAGATCAGCCAAAGTAAATCCATCATGTGCACATATGAAGTTTATGCTGTTCCAAGGTTTTCTCCCTCTTTCCTGATGACAGTCTTAGTGAGGACTTTAACGCAATAGGCCTATACATAATAAACCTTTACAGACAGCATACTGAGTATATATGCAGATTGTGATTACATGGTCGTAGATAATTGTTATAAATTAAGAAGAAAATACCAAAGAAAAATGATATTGCAACTTCAAGTTGGAATTTGTTATCACAAGGAAAATCATAAAATGCATTTGTTGAACAAAAAGCAAACACCTGAGAAAGGCAATGTGCTATATTAGCAAAGGATATATTACAATCATTAAGCAGCTAAGCTATTAATTTATTCAAGACCAACTGGTGAAGGAAATTCAATCAGGTTAAACTGCTATAATTACTATAAGGATTGCCATTTGTCTTCTATTTTCATCCAGAAAGGCTGGAAGTTGAAGGAGACTCCTAAATGGTGATTGGGTGGATGAGTCAAGGGGACAATCTGCCTTGGGTTTATAGGCATCACATAAAAGAAGGAATGCCCATCAACCACCTCATGAATGCCTCATTCAATTTGGTTAAGACTTTGTCTAAAATGTTGATAAATGTAATATATTATTTGGTTGATCTATTAGAATCCTTGGAACTTTCTGTGAGTCAAACTTTTACTTGTACTCTATTATGTAGCTTTAACTCTTGAGGTTTACACAACTTCATAGAGTATTATTTTCTCTATTAACCCTAGTTTCATGGCTTTATTTGGTGGTTTTGAACAAGATAATAATCTAAAATGATGTTTCTATGCTTTTTTTATCATTTCATAAAATATAATTGTATATTTCTACATATTTCACAATGTTTCATGTCTACAATTTTTACAATATTTCAATATGGCATTTTTGACATCTCCAACATGTTTCCTATATTAGGATGACCAACATTTTCACCAACACTGATATTTTAAACCTTGGTTAGGAGAACAGAAAACTGTTTTGCTGACTCACCCACTAGAGAGGGGATTGGCAGGCAATAAATTTATTGGGGCCAACAGTAGGTGATAGGATGTTAACAGGTCGGGTTCAGTATGGCTTTTCCCTAACTCAACTGTCCAGTGCTTTCACTCAAATACAACCCAACCTGACATGATAACATGCAGTTTCTGAATCTGCCCTGGCCCTATAGGGTTCAACCTGATACCAACCTGACCCAACCCATGGCCTTTCAATTATATTTTTTATAACACATCTCTAAAACCCAAAAGCCATAAATTTAAGTGGGAAGTTGGTTTATGGGTTCCAAGGCATTACTTGCTCCAAAAATAATGAAGAAAAACCAAAACAAATATGTAAAGAAATCTGTAGTGAGAATGGGCCGAATGGGCCTTAGTTATGGACCTCTTTTGTTTTGTTTTTATTATTTCTTTAGTGCTGGCCGCCCCATTAAGGGCATCGAGGGAATTGTACTCAGTTTAGAATTAAGAGAATGAAAGACATCTTGGGGGGTAGAGAGAATGGATCAAACTCTTCTCTTCTCTCTTCCCTTCTCTTCTTCTTCCACAAACCCTTGCTATAACCTTTCTTTTTTCTTCCTTTTCTTTTTCTATATTTTCTGAATTATTAAAGGTGTGTTTCACCACTAAATCCTAAACTGTAAGGTTATGGGGTTAGAAGTCATGCCAAATAACCAGAATACCTTCTATGTATGTAGGAGTATCATGACCAGGCAGGTTGAGATGGTGAAATCTGAACCCAACTCGGAAGTTCTGATATGATTTTTCTATGCCATATTTTAACAAATTTTGAATTTTTTAGTGATCAGAAAACAAGATTAAGAAAATAATCAATGACAATTTGATATGACATACATGAAGAAGATAAGAATAATCACCTGGTATAGATTTGGGCTTCCACAAATGCATTCAGCAAAAGACCCTGAAAATCCATCTGTGCCTTTGATAAACTGCCGGACTATGTCACGATACTGAAGACAAAAAAGAAATACAAATCAAAATAGAAGTAAAAGTTTAGGTTGACATTCCAATAATTGTAAGCACAGTAGAGTGCCTGGTTCTCAAAAGGAATATGATTGTTTTATTTAGCTGCTTGTGTCCCATGATCTTTTTATGCACTGGAACTGGATTTTCCTTGGTTATACTTCATCATTATTAGATAACTCAAAATATGTTAACCCACCTTCCCATTCCATTCTGACCATATACCCCAGTGAGGAAACGTACCAACTTGGTAAAGCCCACCTGTATCCCATGCTTCAGCAATTAGCTGTTTAAGATGGAAAAAGAAAAACTTCAGTCTGCAATCAAGAGTAAACACATGATAAGATGGTTGAACACAAACATAAGTAACCACCAACCAATGGCAAAAGTAAACAAATATGGTAAAGCCCAACTGGATTTTCCATTTGCAGTTTATTGGAGTTTACACATATTCCAGATTGAGTTACTTTAGAATCACAGGCATTATGGTAATGTAACATCCAATCTGAAAGAGTACAAGCACAAATATAGTACCTGGTTTACACTCTTAAACCCCAAAGGTCATTTAAACCAATATTTAATCAAATAAATATCCAATATTTATTTGGTAGACATATGCAAAGAGTACAGACACATGACCAACTGATGGTCATTCTAAAACCCTGAAGATTGACTAACAAAATTCACAAAACATCTTACAAAATTTTGTTAAACCTTAATCACAGAAAACATCCATTTTTGCCATAGTTATAGCCACTATGTCAACCTTTTTGATCGCTAAACGTGAATTAATTGTTTAAGGGATCTAAAAATCCAGTAGTTACAACCTTAACACATAGATACCTAATTCAACTTAAAGCTGTTATATTTAAGAAACAAACTTAGATATCCTCAAGCAATTTGAATGAGTGAAATTGAATGTATCATCTAATTGACTATAGACTGTTGTCCACCCATTCCACTGATGATTCAAGGTCAAGCAAGCAAAGAATCACTCCCCTTCAGCAGAAACAACAAACTCCAAAAATATAACTTTGGGTGACATAAAAGAGCACTTCTTTAAGTTGATGTAGAGTTTCTCTTGGCATACTGCTTGACGTAGATGATCAATATGCTCTTTTATGCTATGGCTATATATAAGAATATCATCAAAATAAACAACTAGGAAACAACCAATGAAGGATCGAAGTACCTGGGTCATCATCCTCATGAAAGTACTAGGGGCATTAGTTAGTCCAAATGTCATAACTAGCCACTCGTATTAGCCATCTTTTGTCTTAAATGCTGTCTTCCACTCATCACTAGGCCTAATCCGTATTTGATGATAGCCACTCCTTAGATCGATCTTAGAAAAAATGGTTGCTCCATTCATCATATCAAGCATGTCGTCAAGCCTAGGAATTGGGAACCTATACTTGATAGTAATCTTGTTGATTGCTCTACTATCAACGCAAATACGCCAAGAACCATCTTTCTTTGGAGTGAGAAGAGCTGACTAAGGCTTTCTCTAATAAAACCTTTCTTTAGGAGGAACAACACATTCATCATATCAAGCATGTCGTCAAGCCTACGAATTGGGAATCTATACTTGATAGTAATCTCGTTGATTGCTCTACTATCAACGCACATACGCCAAGAACCATCTTTCTTTGGAGTGAAAAGAGCTGGAACAAAATATGGAGTGACTGGTATGCCTTCACATTTTACCTCATATAAGTTAACCCCGAGGAAGGGCAAGATTACTGTTGTTGATGGATCTCAGACCCCAATCTTGGGTCAGGGTGAAGTCAGAATCACTAATAACCTTTCTCTTGACTCTGTTCTACATGTGCCCTAACTACAAAAAAATTTATTGTCTGTTAGTTCTTTAACAAAATCCCACAATTGCTCAGTGGCCTTTCTTCCAACCATTGTGTTTTTCAGGATCTAAGCACGGGGGAGACGATTGGAAGTGGGCATGAAGTGGATGGAGTCTACCCCCTGGATGGACCTTCAGAGCATGGATTGTCAAGCCAAACTAAGTCTTGTTCCAATGAGAAAATGAGTCTTTTGAAATTATGGCATTGTCGCCTTGGCTGTCAATTCTATCAAGTTTTTGTTTTCAAACTTGCTTGGTTCTGTGTCCAAATTGAACTTTGAATGTGAAATTTGTTATTTATCCAAACAATGTAGAAACACATATTTTGCAAATAGTTCTACAATTCCTATAACTATAGCTGCAACTGTTGTAGAAGTCCCCAAATAGAGCGTTAATTCTCCGTCACTCAATCTTCTACTTGTCTTGAACCCTTATAATGTGTTACATGCATGAGTTGAAGGCCCGAAGTCAATACACCGAGAAGTAGAAGTGAACAACAAATTGGTCTCTATGATAAAATATTCAAAATTACCTTGCTTCTTAGTCTCTAGATACTAAGAACAGTTCGTCTTCCAGTGGCCGGTTTGCTTGAAAAAGTGACAGGCATCCGATGCTTTGTCCTTCTTTTACCTTTTAGGCTTGCTAACCTTTTTTGAGGCTTTTTCTTTACCCTCCTCTTCTTCTTACCAGAATTGCCACCTTCAACAAGCATGGCTATCGGTTTATCCTTCTTAATCAATTCTTCAGCCCTCTGCAACATATTGCTAAGTTCCTAAAAGCTAACATTTAGCTTATTCATATTGTAATTCATGATAAACTGATTGAATGAGGGAGGTAAAGAGTTTAGGATGGCATCAACTTTGGTGACATGATCTAGCCCTGACCCGAGTGCCTCTAGTTCATTAATATAACCCATCATCTTAAGACAGTGGTCATCAACCATCTGGCTCTCGGTCATTTTAGCGGTCATAAATAGTTTTAAGTCCTTTTGCCGAGTAGAACGATTCTACTCTTCATACATGGTCCTCAAACTATCTAGGATATCCTTGGACACTTCGATTTGATCGAATTCTCTGTATCGGATTGTCAAGAGAGGCTATGATGTAGCACCGGGCAAGAGAGTTCTTCTCTTCCCATTCTTGATACTCTCTCCTACGTGCCTCAGAAGCCTATCACTCGGACGATCCGGAGAAGGGTTCTTAGCAACCCTGTCCAATTTCTCGGACGTTAACACCAACATAAGGTTACGGAAGCAGTCAGCATAGTTTGGGCCCTTAAGTTTGTTATCGTCCATCAACTTGGCGAATTGTCAGTTTGCCATTTCTGATAAAAGGCAAGGCAGATTATTAGTCCACAACCTAAATTGATTCATGTTTACTACATACTACATATATATGGGTTTTAATCTATGTTCCATTTACATTTGTTCATCTCTGAGATTTCCCTCTTATCTCAGTGACGGAGACAGAGAAATATGTCTTTGAAAATGTGGGAAACCACATACAGTGCATGGAGCCAACTATTTCAATTACATAACCCCACCACCTTCTGTGAAGGATCATATCCACTTATCTTATGAGCTTTCCCTTTGGCTTTTGTAAGACAAGGTTTATTGCCATTTTAGGTTAAACCTTTCTGTCCAGTAAGTGCTTACCCATCATATTCGTGAACGCCAAGGGACCGTGAGAGAGTCTTCCCTTTTAGAATAGGCCCCTACCACATTGGTCTATGACACCCCTATCATCTTATGAAACAATCCAACAGATCCAACAGCAAATGGATAGCCCAATTTTATGGTGCATCTCCTCATTACTAAAGGATCCATCTTCAAGCTAATGATGGAGGGCCTTTAGAGAGTTCATCATATGAATCTCCCTATCACATGCACTTATATTTTGTTGGAGGGAACAAATAATTACGCCCTAGTTATTATTTAGGTCAAACCATAGTGACTCCCACTTTCTTAAAGCCAGATTCATATGGGCCCTAAACGGCTAGGGTTCCACACGGTTCCTCTTGGGGAGGAAGCTGAAGTGGGGCTCATCAAGAAAGGAGATAATCCAATGATCTTAAGGACACCATGGCAATGATGTGCATTCAACCATGGTGTGCGAAAGAGCCACTATCGAAATTAACATGGGCCAAGTGCTTATGGCCCATGTACATAGCACATCACACATCATACATCACATGCATGAAATAAAACCACAATTGATCCAATCAATTTAATCATCTGTAAAACCCTAAAATAGTTAGATTAAATCAGTATCAACCCATTAGAGCCCATAACATTATCATATAACATTATCTAGGTAAGCAGTTCAACCCATGTAGCTGAATTAGGGCTGATGCAGTTTTAACTTAACAATACTGGGTTTTACAGGTTGGGCCGAATTGCATCTAGCAATAAGCCATCAAACCCTTGGTCCATTATAAAAATTTTAGAGCTGTGAACGGTCCCTATTGAGCCACAGATTCGGTCCAACCAATTTGGTCCAATCTGGGTTGAATGTGTCTAGGGTTTGGTGTCTAATTCAAGATCCAATTCAAGAAGATGATCTGAAATTAATTATGGCTGATAAATGACAATCAACAATCAGCAATCAAACACAACAGTGGGCTGTTCGTGTGGCTGCAAACCTGCAAAAAAGAGGTTAGTCACAATTTGCAAATTTGTTTTCTGCAAATCGCAGATTGCAAACCTTCTATCTACACAAAGTCTTCTTCTCCTCCACACAAACCAGCACTTCTTGCAATGAAAAAATTAGAAAAAACCTAATTTCTCTATTAATTAACATCAGAATAAATTCTATACAATTCGTCTAAAAAATAAAAAAAAGATTATTTACAAACCAAGAATGAATAGAATAATACAAGAAGTGTGCAAATTCTTGGTGCCAATAAAAGATTTCGATCTCCACCATACGAACAGCCCATAATTCAAGAAATAAATATAGAACATTTCTATAAATATTGTAGATAAATAAAAAAATTAATTTCAGATCATTCGCCCATAGCTGATAATTGAATTCTCAGAGAAAACCTTAATCTGCGCAAATCGGGTAGAACCGATTCTACCTATTTGCGCAGTCTTGGCAATAAATCCGATTGAAATATGAGGAAGTACAGAAGAGAAGGGAAGAAGAGAGAAAAGGAGAAGGAAGAAAGGAAGAAGAAAAGGTTTGGAGCAATCGAACAATGTTAGCGGCACCAACTTCTATTATATTATATAGGGCAGCAGAAATAAGAAGGGAAAAGACCCTTGTGCCCCTACTGTAAGTGAGTACAATAACAGAAATAACAGAAAATAAAAAAAAAACGCTTTAACTAGCCAAAATAGACCCTAACACAAATAACTAAATTATTTCAACACTCCCCCTCAAGTTGGAGCATAGATGTCAATCATGCCCAACTTGTCACACAAATCA